GGGTGTGATCACCCGTGTGTACACCTGTGAGCATGGACGCGCTTGTTTTTTGTTTTTTAAAAGGTTCCTTCTTGTAATAATCTGCTAGAGGGTGTGGGGGGGCCACAGCCCCGTCCTCCAGGGCATAAATGACTTGTTTCTAATACATCAGTTTTTCTCTTACAGATGTCAAAGTCTCAACCTGATGCTGCCCTCCCTCATCCTCCTAAAGTAAGTATTAGTTGTTGTGGTTTTTTAGGCAGTGTCTGTGTCACGTGATATTATGTCACATGCTAAGCATAACTATTGAAATAATAACTGTTTTATAACAGATTTTCCCAAACACTAGCTATGTTTGTTGTCATTCAGACCAGTACTACTGGTTAGACATTGCTTAATAAGGATTCTGTTTTTTTAGCTGCCATCACCAGTGTGTGAATGGGTTGATGACTGAATGTGTAAAGCGCTTTGGGGTCCTTAGGGACTAGCGCTATACAAATACAGGCCATTTACCATATAATTGATATTCCCGATTAATTTCTCATCTCTGATTGAATGCCTTTGTTTGTTTGCCTTTTTTTGACCATAACAAGACATTTTTGCAGGATATATATGGTGAATTTATATGCATAGATACAGTCGTAGTGCTTGACACATGCACAGAGCAGTAGATGGACTAGTAGGGAAATAATTACAATCATGATGTTGATTGCTGATGTCAGTATATATATTTTAGAGGAATGTTTTGTTTTTCACCCAAAATGAACTATATTCTTCAGAAGAGATTTTTTACCCCACTGGATTCTTATATATTGTTGTTTTTTTGCTTGTTTGTTTGTTTTTTCTCCAGAACATGTATGCTGTACCTATTTACTTGAATTGTATAGATATATTTACGTCATCAAAATATGTCACATGACTTACAAGGTTTAGATTGTTGTGCAACATTGTCACATTCTGATATTTATTCAGTGGTTTTATGGCAGTCAATGCTATGTGTATTTTTTTTAATCTTTAAATATTCTCCTTTATAGGTACCCAACTCTTCATGCAAAGCGTCTGGGGATTCTAAAGTAAGTATTTTTGATTCTGCTTTGTGCCACCGCGAAATGTCAATCTTTCTTATTAAAGTGTAAAGACTCAATCATCTAAGTTATTCTGAGTTCTTCCTTCTTTCATTTAGTTTACCAGTAATACTCTGTCTGTAACAACATTGTTGACTTCATATGTATGTGTTTATTTATTTAAAGGGTTCCAGTGATGCTGAATATGTAAGTAATTTTGCTGAGAATTTAGGTAGGTGCAAACTCAAATGTGTTTTTTAAAAACAATTTATATTGAAACACTCTTTTTATGTGATTGCAACCACAGGTGGAGTTAGCACATGCTACAGGGGTAAAAATTCTGAAACATCAGTGGGCTACTGCTCTTCAGGCCCAAACACCCACTTCAATGGTGCGTGTTCTTCTGATGGCCGTCTTCCCACTGGAGGTTTTGATCCAGAGCAATTTAAAAGGTAAACAGCTTTGAAACTTAGTTCCAATGGTTAGCTAATAGTATTTTAAAAAGCCTACTTCTCTGTCACCAGTTTCTTTACCAAAAAGCATAATATTGTAGTTCAAATGTTTAGATGAACAAAGATCAGATTTTTGGAAAATTAACTAGCCAGACACTCAAATGTTAATGCTTTTTATAGGAGGACACAGCAAAACAGACATCGGCGCAGAGCGAAGAACTGCCCTTGATAAAGAAACCATGACAGCCATATATAGTAAGTGAAGACTGTGTATCTAAAATTGCATACTGCACAAGTAACTCACTTTGCAACAATAAAAATTGCACAGATAGGTGATGAAGCATTGAAGTGATTGGACTCAGACAAAGAAGGTCAACAGATTGAATGCTGGAGAGTAAGGATAGATGACCAAAAGGTGTGTTAGTATTACTGTAATGTGAACTGGATAGACTTTCCATCGAGGGGGAAAAAAAAAAAAAAAAAGGTAAAATTATGTGGAAAATATATCTGTATCTCTATAAACGGAAATATCTGTTTGCTAAATGAAGCTAGCTAATTTAAATCATGTTTTTATTTTAACTCTGATAAAAGTACTAGAACTGTGACTTTTGTTTGTTACAGTGGCGGTAAGGAAGAGGTTCCCCAATGTATCCAGAGGGGCTTTGGGGATTGCAGTCAATTCAAAGCTGGGGGAACTCAGACTGTTGGA